TTCCACTGCTGCAGCAAGATTGACCAGGCACAGAGATTTGTCAGGAGATGCCTGAGAAGTGATGTGTCTCAGTAGCTCACCCTGAGGTCTCGGCGTTATAGACTCATGTTCTTTCCCCCATCATTGTATAAATGACCTTGCATCATGTCTTTGAGATTTTTCTATAAAAGGTGAATTTGTAACTTGGCCAAATTGGATCAGGTTTTTTTTTGAGCAAGATTGACCAGGCACAGAGATTTGTCAGGAGATGCCTGAGAAGTGATGTGTCTCAGTAGCTCACCCTGAGGTCTCGGCGTTATAGACTCATGTTCTTTCCCCCATCATTGTATAAATGACCTTGCATCATGTCTTTGAGATTTTTCTATAAAAGGTGAATTTGTAACTTGGCCAAATTGGATCAGGTTTTTTTTTGAGGTCAACAAGGAATATTTTTCAGCCCCTGCACGAGGTTCATTTGAATGTCAGGTTCCTCTGAAAGCCGGTGAGGCTGTTCAGAATTCTGCCAAAAAAATAGCATTCGGGAGAACTGTCTGTTCTCCTTTAACCTTGCTCTCAAAGCAACAGCAACAAAAAATTGTTCTGGTCCTCCTGAGTCTTAAAAAAACATTAAGGCAAGCACTGAGCTCAGACACTTGAAATTTGGCTGCATTACAAAGGACTGAAAATGAGGCATTTGCCCTGGTAAATGCCTTAATAGAGGGGTCATTACCTGTGCTCTCTCTACGACTGGATTAAGCCCACTGCAGCTGAGGATGGATTGGACTAATAAACCCCTGAGCCTATAGAAAGCCTGCAGTAGTTAACAGCATGCACGGTATAGCACCAGCATTATTGTAAAAAAGCTTTCCTTGCTCAAGGGTCACCAGGGCAGGGAGAGGGTGGGCTGCTTGGGCCACTCTATTTTCTTCAGACTCTCTCGCTTCAGTTGTCTCAAAAGTTGAAAGTGGGTATGTTAATTTGTTCTGCGAAGCAGGCTGAGTTGCGTAATAGCAACTGCAGGTGACGCAGAGCCTGTCCCATCCTGATTTGCAGAAATCTGGCTTGCCACTACGGTTACAGTTCAGGTCAATCAGCTGCAGAGAACATCTCTGAGCATGACTCTTCTTTGTGCTGCCCAATACGCACATTCTCCTGTGGTCCATCTATTTATTTCTAGAAGAACAGGGCTTCTTCGGCGTTACTTGCAGTTACCATTATGCAAAGTGTGTATCATCTGGTCAGAATGGATTATTGTGTCCCTTGCAAAGCCCAAAGCATGCATGTCCATGTCTACAGGTACAGCAAAATAAGATATTTGAATAGTTTATAAAACCAACTGATGACTTTCTTTTCTAGGGTCAAGCGTTATCTGGGTGCGAGCTTTCTTTACACTGATGCCTGAGTGATGAATGTAGCTGAAGAGAAGGGACTACTCATGTAAATAGCTGCTCATCTAGTCTATTCAACCATAGATATATAGATATATAGATATATAGATATATAGATATATAGATATAGCCTATCTCACACAGGAATGCAGCATATCTATACCACACAATGTCGGGCTGTTTGAAGATACAATGGCCACACCTTGATCCCGGATATGTTAACGCTCTGATGATGCAATGTTCCAAGGAGGCTGAGTAGGAATATGGTTGCTTTAACTCTGTATGTATGCCACTGGAAAGGTATGAGCATATTCTCCTTGCCCGGCAGCTGAGGAGGCCTTTGAAATACATGTTGCAGGCCTCCTTAGGGATATCTAATATTAATGTGAAAATATTCACAATGCTAATGGCTAAATAAAGCTGCAGCTATACCCAGCTGATAGTCCATAAGTTTCCTCATCTCTTATTCCAGCTCAGATATTTTCCATATCCTCGTCATTGTGATATTTGGCTGAAGATGAAGACCTGAAGCAGGACCTTTATGCTACCATGCCAAGCCCAGAAGATTTTGTCTTTTGAAGAGCAAGTGGTCATTAATGCTTTTGGTGCAATTGAACATATCACACCTTACATTGCTTGGCCCATATAGGGGGAAGAGATCCTCTTTGTACCTGTGAGGAGAAAAGCATTAGTAGAACTGCCTTGAAAACCCATTTCTCTCATCATGTCCTCAGGCTGGTCAAAGCAACTCTGGGCTGAAATTCGAAACAGGTAGAAAGAATAAGAAGCAGAGGACCACATCAGTCATATGTGGGTTTGTTGTAGGGCAGAAGACCTTTTTCTTTCCCATCCCTTAACTCTGCACAAGGTGATGTGTGCACATTTAGTCAAGTGGTCAGTAAAGGCGAGCTGCCTCCTGGCTGGGCTACCTCCATTTCTCATTCACAGAGCAGCTGAGGCTGTCGATGCATGAGCCTGGTGCTGCTCTGAGAGTTGACAGAAGCAGCAGTTTGCCTGGAACGTGCAGAGCCATAAAAGCAGCTGCGAGCCTTTTCCTTCTGGCCAAGTGGCTGTATTTATATTCACCAACCAGAGGCATGTGCAGGCATTAGAGAAACAGCTTTTGTTTCTTTAATAGGGGTCTTATTGTTGTTGGGACCTGTGATATGGTGGTATGTGGAGCAGATGTTTCAAGGACCTTTCTGTATTAAGTGTTTATTATATGGGTGCCTCTAAGCGTTGAGATTGGCATTAGTGACTCAGAACATGTCCAGACCATGTTCCTCTGTTCCCTGGGACTGGGGACATATGTATGAAGGACAAGTCTTTCTGAAGGAGTAGTCATTCTCATAATTGGATGCATGTTTAGGGGAAGGGACAGGAGCTAAATGCAAGACTCTGTCTGTACTAAATGCAAGTCTGTACTGATGCGCTAAACAAATAGCTGTTCAGCTGAGAAGACAACCCTTATCAGGTTGGCGTCTTACCTAATTGTGTCAACTTTTACTTTCGAAAATCAATTTATTTGCAACATAATACCAAAGTAAATCATTCCTTTACACGTCATGCTGGCTCTGTTTCCAAGATGCTTTTTGAAGGAGCAGTTATCTGTTGTCAGCAAAAACATGCCCCCTGCCTTGTCATTGCCCCAGGTTATTGTTGAGCAATTATTCTTTCTTCTTTAAAAGCATTTGCATGTAGGTTTCTCTTGCCTTTATGCATGTGGCTAGCCATCCATGCAAATCTATCATAATCCTGCTGCAGTAGTACACTTCTTTCCTAGCCCGACTCTCCTGTGAGCTTCCTTCTCCCAGATGTTTTCTTCCACCTTTCTTTGCCATGCTGTATGAATATACTCTACTCTCTGCTTTTGTTCTTGTTTCTTTTAATAAAGTAGCTTTTCCTTAAATGTCCTTGCAACCGGATTTCATTCTTACTCACCACCCC